CTCCCAGGTAAGTGTAAGATAGCCTCCTGGAGCAAAAACAGGGCATGGGGGGGGGGGTGCGGCGCTGCCCCCCACCCTTTTTTTGCTCCCAAGAGGCACCAGGGAGACTTGCTAGGCCCCATTTTGGGCCTAGGAGGCCTCCCTGCAGCCTCCTGGGAGCATCCAGCCATCCAGTATGCCTGGATTCAGTGTTTAGCCAAAAGAAGCTAATCCAATATTGGTTACTGCCTTGGGAATGTTCTAGGTAAACAACACTATGCAATCTCCTAAAACTGTTGGAGCCAATCTTCTTTCCTTATTCCATATCCTCCTCTTCAAAAGTAGTAAGTTGCTCTGCTTTTTCATGCCAGGCTTAGCGTGGTAAGTTCAGAGTGGATTTTCTAGAGAACAGCTTATCTTTAGATCTCATTCGTTTGCTCAATTTCAGTGCATAAATTACAATTTCCAAAGCATAATTCAGACTATTCAGCAGTTTGCCTAGCTGCTGTTTCATCACTTCTATTGCTGTCACAACCTTTATGGAGTCCAATGGCCTTTTAAATTTGACAAGCAAAAAACACAGTAAATATTTCCCACAAATATTTTCTCTCTTCCACTATGTGGTTCGATATTTAACATATAAAATTATGTGCTGTGTTTACTATTCAGGCAGTTTGCAAACTTGTGTTTTTTGTTATTGGAAGGCAACTCTTTAATTTGAAGTAGTGGTAAATTCTTGGTAATAAAATGGCAAGTAGAAAGGCTCACTTCTACTTGCCATTTAGAAAGGGTTAGAAAGAATGAGGTTAACCTTTGCTTTATTTCCAATCTCCTTTTCTTGACTTGGTCTTCATAAAAAGCTTTGGATTCGAAGCCATATGTGTTAAAACAAAATTCTTTCTGTTTAAGTGCAAGTATGCAAAAAGGTTCAAGATTAATCCATTTAATGGCTTTAAATATCTGGGTGTTGTACTAAGGTTTAAGTCAGAGGTCTTCAAACTTGGCAACTTTAAGACTTGTGGACTTCAACTCCCAGATAGCTGGCTGGAGAATTCTGGAAGTTGAAGTCCACAAGTCTTAAAGTTGCCAAGTTTGGGGACCCCTGGTTTAAGTAGAAAGAGGTTCCAGCTGAAAATATACCATGAATAGCATAGAGATGCATGGTAGCTCTTCTTTTTCTTTCTTTCTTTCTTTCTTTCTTTCTTTCTTTCTTTCTTTCTTTCTTTCTTTCTTTCTTTCTTTCTTTCTTTTTCTTTCTTTCTTTCTTTCTTTCTTTCTTTTTCTTTCTTTCTTTCTTTCTTTCCTTCTTTCTTTCCTTCCTTCCTTCCTTTCTCTTAAAAGGAAAAAGAAAAAGAAAGAGGGAGGGATGGGAGAAAGAGAGAAAGGAAGGGAGAAAGAGGGAAGGGAAAAGAATGTGAATGAGATATGGATGGATGGATAGAGGGAGGGAGGGAGGGAAAGAAAAAGGAGAGGAAGGAAGGACCACAAACCCTGGCACTAGACGCAGCTTCAGAGGATGCTTTGAAACAGCACAGCAATCCAGGGTTGGAAGGAACCTCAGAGGTCATCTAGTCCAACTCCACTCCAAGAGCATTGTTAAAATGAGTTTCTATCTTTTGACCCAGCCAGTCACATGACCAAGCCACACCCAGCTGGTCACGTGACCACCAAACCATGCTCACCCAGTCACGTGACCACCAAGCCACGCCCAGCCAGCAAACCATGCCCAACCTGTCAAATGACTACCAAGCCACACCCACAAATTAGGCCATGCCTACAGAACCAGTTGTTAAGAAATTTGAATCCCACCCCTGCTTGGTGGGCGTGGCGTGGCTTGGTGGGCATGGCAGTGGAAGGATACTGTAAAATCTCCATTCCCTCCCCACCCCACTAACCTGCTTTCCAGCTCCGTTCTCCTGTGCAGGGCAACAAAAGAAGACCCAGCCAAGCAGCTGGGACTCAGGAGGCAGAGGATAGGGCAGGGCCAGTCAGAGGTGGTATTCTGAAGTACAAAAAAATTCCGCTACCTGTTCCCTGGACTACTCAAAATTTCTGCTACCAGTTCTCCAGAACTGGTCAGAATCTGCTGAATACTACCTCTGTCTGTAGGTGTATATGAACCACCTTTGATGTGCAAACTGACTACAGCGGAAATAAAGAAGTTCATTGACAAACCAATGCAAGTACCATAGTGGCCCTGTCATATCCAATCAATAGAGAGATGTGTGAAAGAGGTAACCGAGGCAGCAAGCAGAGTGTATACACTTAAGAAACATGGTATCAGAGGCCAAGAAGCAAGTCGGGGACTGATGTCGAAAAACAAATCAAAACAAGACTTGATGAAACTCGCTTAAACATTGTTATAACTCAGATAATTGCTTTCTGAGGTTAGTTTAATGATTGCATGAATTTTTTGCTTAGCTAGACAAGATTCCTGCAGGAAAAAAACTAAGTTTTGTAGCACAAGGTGTAATTTTGAGAAGATAAAGTGAACAGTACAGTATTTGTGGAGTATTTGATCAGATGTGGATTTACCATACCAAGCTAAACATTGCACAATTGCAAAAATAACAGATTTGAATTGTTAGTGTAAAAACACATATTTTTAGAACCCCTCACTGAAAAAAACTACAAATTAATTTTAACCCCATTAAACACGCCTTATACAGTATTCATTACCATTATGAGTATTTGTAAGTCCCTACATTAAATTAACATTATTAATACTGTGACCGTTCATCTATTTTAATGACAATCAGAAATTTCATAAGCTCTTCCATTTTTTTCTAACCAGACTCCCAAATTGAACAAATTCAGAATTTCCAAGCTATTAAAATAATCATTTCAATAATTCCACTTAAACATTATTAGGTAGTTATGAAGGAAACAAAGCATTGTATTTACCTTACAAATTATTTTAAAACTCCAACTTGCTGGGACTCGTTCCTGGCTGTTTATAGTGGTTGCCTAGTTACAGATGCATTTGTATTCTGACCATTTGTTGATTAGTTGATTTTCTCTCTAGCTCTGACCATTTAGAGAAAATTTGTCTTAAATGAGAGCAAAGGTGAGCAAATATCTGAGAGGCCACTCTTGGATAACAAGGGAAACCATTGCAAAATATATTTGCAAGGACCTGAAGTTTTAGTTAAGTAGATCTACATGTACATCTGGTGCCAGTATGAAAAAGGGCATTCTGAATGTCGTGGTTCCTTCCTTATGGAACATCATTCCCGTGAGTTACAGGTAATCCTCGGGGAATGATAGGCTGTTTAATGACTATTTGAGATTGCAAATGCATCCCAAAGTGTACTTACGACAGGGGTTCAAAATTGTGACCAAGAACAGGTCTCTGCAGTCATGTAATCTGGATTCAGTCACTTCTAAAACAGCAGCCATTTTTTATCTTGCAACTTCTCTTTGGGACCCAGAAGTTGCCCACAGTTATGACAGGCAATTTCTGAAATCCATGTGGTTGTGCATGCTCCCCCCCCCCCCCCCCCCCCCCCCCCCCCCCGCATGCTTTTGTTTTCTTGTCATTGCTGCCTGACGGAGGACTAGAGGGGTGTATCTCTGGTTGCTGCCTGGGTTGTTTCTTTGGTTCTTGTTGCTTTGAGGTAGAGAGTACTGTAGTTGCCTTTGTTAAGTACAGTAGCTAAAAATGTTCTTTTTCATTATAATACTCTACTTCAGGAGGCGTTCTAGGGTTTACTAAACCATTGATGATACTCTACTTGTTTGTAAGTACTTTACAAAGTTCTGTGCTTGTTTGTAAGTACTTTATGAAGTTTTTTTCATTACTTTGTGTTTGCTTTGAAAATTGCTTGCAGAAATACCAGCAGTATCTACAGAAAGCAAATTCAGAACTGTAAAGTTTCTTTGCCTTCTACTGTACAATACTGTTTTTTTTTACATGTGCTTGGAGATTGCAGAAGCCTACATAGGAGATCCAAAGAACTGAAGTTTCACAGATTGTGATCACAACATTTACCACCAGTACTATCAGGAAAATAATCTGATATCACTAGTCATTAGCAAGGCAGAAGGCAGATGGAACCAAGCCTCCCCCCCCAAGAGACACCCACCTTATATAGCGTGTGTGAAAAAAAGGACAAACAACCCCCAGCTTTGAAAAGAAGCCATTTTTGATGCACAGAACTCAAGCGGAATCCCTTTGTAATGGCTTATCTTGTCTGCAGCAAAATTCATTTATCAACGAAGTCCTTGGCTTCTTGTGTGCCTATTTAATTATTTCCAGGCCAACACAGAGTTAACAAGTAAGAAGGAGCTTTTCCAGTGCTCCTGCTCAACACAATTCTTCCTTTGTATTTTTAGCCTGCTAGCTAGGGTATTTCTGAACAAGGGCCAAGTGTTCTTTCAAAAAGGCATCAAACCCACATTCAAAGTAGCCCAGTTGACAGGTTAAAAATATGGAGGGTGGCACAGGGTCAAATGGGAGTGAGTGAAAGCAAGCAGAGATGGCAGCAGTGACACCAAGCAACCAAGAAGTTCAGATGATTGGTAGACCCAGAAATAGCTATGGGTTCCATGGGGAGCGCATGGGTTTGAGCAGATGTTCAGTACAGCACATCTGTAATGATAGTGCCACCAAAGTTGGAATTAAGGTTAAAATGGCAGTTCCCCTAAGGCACATAAATACGGCAACTAGAATTCAGTGCATGAACAGCTATTGCGGCTGTATCATTAGGGTTCCAAGCTTGTTGACCAGACAGAGGAAGTTGTATCACTTGTACTCAAATCCACAGAATAAATGTATTGAAAAGAATGGAAAATGCTGGTTAGAAACAGATATTTCTACAAAGCACAAGTCTGCTCTCTCTTACTGTCAAAGTGAAGATAGAAAGATAGATTAGGGAGAACACAACGAGGCAAACATCAAGATTTATGCACTTGCATCAAATGTCTGGTGGAGTTTAATCACATGATTGTGTCATCATCTTGATGAAATCTTGATTTGCTGCAGACATATAATGCCACAAGGATATGCCCTAAAAAAGCAATAATGAAGACATCTTTCTACCATGGTTAGAGTCAAATGAGGAAGATCCTAGAGAAAGCTTTTTTAAAAATTATTTTTGTTTTTAAAATAACAGGGGGAAAAATCCCAAAAGCAACAAGATACAAAAGTACATTTTTAAAGAAAAAAATACATGACAAGTGCTTAAAACTAAGTTAAAAGTTATTCATTTGTTTTTTGAGCTCTAGAGAATGCTTAAGACAGCAACTCATTGCTCAGAATGCAGTTTATTCTTTGCTAATATATCTGCTGCATCAAATATCAATCTGGACCACAAACACAGTGATTTAAGGTAAGGAAAGAACTTTCCATAAAAATGATCAAAAGGACTTCTATACAACTTCAGTAAGACTTTGGGGATGCTCTGTATTTTAGCCTTATTCATTTACTCACTGTAATGGAGTTGCACGGTAGGTTAAACGTTTAGATTTCTGTGCCGCCCAAAAAATAAAAAATAAACCCTAACCATTTATTAGCTACACTTATGGTACATTAATACTGGCTGAGGAAATCTGGGAATTGAAGTCCTCACAACTTTAAAAGTTGTTTAGGATTGTGACGCACTGGCTGAGCTGCTGAGTTGTGTTGCAAGTTCTTAACATTTAAAAATACGGCCGGTTGGTCTATTCTAAACACACTTATCTGAGAACAATATTATTACATGTCTATATAGCAGTGGAGTCCAGGAAGTTCAGTGGAACTTAGCTGCAACTAAAATGATCTAAAACCGAAAAACAGAATATTCCCGCCGATTTGTTCGTTCTGACCAAATTATCAACCCCGAAGAACGCGCGACAGGAGGAGTAAGTGCAACGCGGAAGAAGGAAGGCCATGCTCATCGCAAGGTCAGGCTGCGAAGACTCGATTGGCATCTCCTCCAAGGTTCTTTGCTTTGGCCCAGAAGTGCGGAGGCGTGAATTAATTTAGTCGCGGTGGCAACAAGGCGTGGCCTTGCTTACGAGCAAAATGTTACGGATCTGCTTGAGTCACTGCCCGCGAAGGACCTCCATTGTGAGTTTCGGAAGTTGGCGGAGCCGGTGGGCGCAGCGAGCGCGCTTTTCCGCCTCTGCTTGTGTCATGGAGCCTCGTCTCCGTTTTTCTCCCCCCGACCACAGCCTTTTCGATCAGCCGCTGGCCATCTCGGTGGAAGGGCTCCGGCCCGAGCAGGAGATCGGGCTCCGCGCGTCGCTGGAGGATGAGAGGGGGGAGCGCTTCGAGTCGCACGCCTTCTACCGAGCAGATGGCGAGGGGCACCTGGATCTGCAGCGCTCGCCGGCGCTCGAAGGCGGGAGCTTCTCGGGTTTGGAGCCGATGGGCCTGCTGTGGTCTCTCCAGCCGCTAAAACCCCACAGGCGCCTGGTGAAGCGCGACGTCGAACGCCCCTTTCGCCTGGAGCTGGAGGTGTTGGAAAGGCTGGGAGCGTCTCTGCCTGGTCGCGTCCTGGCCAAGAGCTCCCACGAGCGGAGATTCCTGGGCGACGGGGTGAAGAGACTCCCGGTGCGGGAAGGGAATATCCGGGCCGTTCTTTTCCAGCCTCCCGGTAAACAGCGGGGACCTTACCACAGAAACTACCCTATTAATATTTTATTTTTATTTATTTTATTTATTTGATTTGCCAATTGTTTACAAATTGTTTACAATATACTCAATGTGCCGCAGGATCAGCCAAGAGCGATTTAATTAATCCACTTTTGGGATTCTCCCGGTCACGCTGAATTGAGCTACGGTATAACTAATCAGACAGGTTGAGGCTGTTCAGATTCAGTGCGTTGTTCGAAGTCAGTTTGGTTGTAGCTGACGTTTACATATTTACCCAACGTTTACCCAGCATTACAGGTCGAATCACAGCCTGTAATGCGGCCATATTTCAGCCTAGTGTGTTATATGAACTTGGGAAGTAAGATTGAATAAGGCGTAATTCCTTTTTTTAGTGTGCTTTCAAGTCAGTCTTGGTTCCAAATGACTTCCTGCAGCTTTTTGGACACCATTTTTGGAAATGGCTTCCTTTGCTTTTTTTTTTTTCTGGAGTTGAGAAGAGAGCGACTGAGCCTCTCTCGGGAACACAGTTCTCTTGTGTTCTTGAGAGAGGCTTAGAAAACAAAGTTCCCCAGTTAGTACTTTGGTGCCTTCAACTTCTACAGCAAATTGGCTCTATGATTTCTGAAATTAAAATCAGTGGAATACAATACACCATCATTACATTAGCCCTGGGATCTGTAATTTAGGAACAGCCAATGCATTGTACGTACTCAGCCTTTTTGTTCACACATTTTACTAAATAATGGGTGATTTAATAGAGGTTTATAAATCACTACTAACTGGCTTTTTGTAACATGCTAAACCATAAATTCTTATTTCCAAACCACAGTGGTTAGCTTTATGTGACAGAATGGGCTAAACAATGAAACCATATTATCGCTTGGCCAGTTGTTTGAATCAAGCCATGTGCCCTTTTGTGCTTTATCTTTGATGCAGGACTTTGTTTAAAGTATGCTAAGTTCTTAAGAAATCTAAGGTAACTAAAAACAACTGCTCTGGCTTTGTATTTCTTGCAGGTAAAGGCCCTTTTCCAGGTATCATTCAGATACCTGGAACTGGAGGAGGGGTTCCAGAAAGTTCAGCGTGTCTGATAGCAAATCATGGCTTTGCTGTATTAGCTTTGGCCTATTATGGGTATGATGATCTTCCTAAGAACATGGAGGAATTGCATCTCGAGTACTTTGAAGAAGCTGTCAATTATATGCTAAAACACCCAGTGGTAGGTTGTTATATTCACGGTCTTTGCAAAAAGGTTTAGCTGAGATTTTGGTTTCTTAGCCACAGGAATGTATTCAGTCAATTGGGGTCAGACTCAGCTCAGCTTTCCAGACAAAATGATTGTCAAAGAGAAAATTGGAAGGGAGGAATACTATATATACTGCTATGTTATCCTACCTAGATGAGAGATGGGCAATTAATTTTCCCAAAGGACCACAATAAGAAATTGGGACGGTTGTAGAGGCCCACTACCAACATATCCTCCCACCTGCCATCTGCGCCCCCTGCCCCCACTGATTGGGATAGTAAAAGGATGGCCCCTGGACTGTAAAAAGGCTACGTCTGTCCTAGATAATTCAAGCAGTAAATAATTGCATTTACAAGAAGTCCTTGTTTAGCAACTGATACATTTAGCAACCATTTGCAATTACCATGATGAGGAAAAAGTAATTAATTCCTGGCACTTATGACCTTTGCAGTTCTATAAAGCAAAGGAAAACTGAAGTAAGGTCATAAGACAACTACGATTTCACTTAGCAATCATTTTGCTTAGCAGCCAAGTTATTCCTCCTCCGGACTTCGCAAGAGCCTTAAGACCTGGCTCTGCCGGATGGCGTGGAAACCCAGTGGGGGAGCTTCACACTGGAGGTCATTGATTAATACTAATTAAAAGGTAATCCCCCCCCCCCCAATGAAATTGGCTCCCTCCTAGGCTGTCGTGTTACTTTATCTGCTTTGTTCTTTTATATCTGATGATTTACCGTAAATGTTTTTCTGCTGTAAGCCACCCAGAGTCATTGGACACAACAAATAAATTTCTAAATAAATAAATTGGGTTCTCTAAATCAGAACAACCCATATGACAAAACTATCCGTTATCAGTTGAAAAGAAAAATCCTGATTAGCAGCAAAATCTATCCATATATTAGCTTAGCATGTGGCTTAATATGTAAGTTTCTGATTAAACCAATAATATGCAGTGCTTAAAAAAGATCCATCTGGTTATTCATTTAGAATTGATGTATGAACATAGCAATAGGATCAGCATGTGATAGAAACATTATTAACGGTGTGAATCTGATTTTCTTTCCTTCCTTCCGTTTAGGTTAAAGGTCCAGGAATTGGGGTGTTGGGACACTCCAAAGGGGGTGACATCTGTATTTCCATGGCCTCATTTTTAAAAGGCATCACAGCAATAGTCACGATTAATGGTTCTATAGCCAATGTAGCTACAACAGTACGCTATAAGGATATCACTATCCCACCTCTTGGCATTAATATAAATCGAGTCAAAATTGATCAGAATGGGATCGTCGACATTATTGATGCCCTAAACAACCCACTTGAGGGTCCTGACCGCCAAAGCTTAATTCCATTGGAGAAAGCTGAGGGACGCTTTCTTTTTATTGTGGGCTTAGACGATCATAATTGGAAGAGCGAATTTTTTGCCAATGAAGCTGCCAAACGTTTACAAGCTCACGGAAAAGATAAACCTGGAATCATTTGCTATCCTGAAGCAGGCCATTACATTGAACCTCCTTATACACCACTGTGCCCTACTTCAGTCCACTTTTTGGTGGGCAAAACAGTGATTTGGGGAGGGGAACCTAGAGCACATGCAGCAGCGCAGGTGGATGCTTGGAAGCAGATTCAAGACTTCTTTCATGAAACCCTCAATGACCACACGAGCAAACTCTGAATGAATTGGCGACGAGCTGGGTTGCAGCATACTAAGCTAAATACTGGAGACGGGAGAATAATGCGGTGAATGGATATGAAATGGGGGCAAGAAGAAGAAAACTCGGAGGTGATAAATCCCATTTTGAACGTTGTTTATCTATGTCTTCAGATATTGTTTCTGCATTCTGAATTAAAATCCTGAAGACTAGGATCTGCATGCAGGCAAGAGCACCAGATGGTGGCCACGACAGTATGATTTTGATTAATTGGTTTATTTAAATCTACAGGGCCACCCCACAGCAACCCTGGGTTGTGAGCAAAGATTAAATGGAAACCACCCCAGAAAACCTTAAGACAAGAGTCTTCAAACTTGGCAAGTTTAAGACTTGTGGACTTCAACTCCCAGAATTCCTGAGCTAACATAACTGGAGGAGGAATTCTGGGAGTTGAAGTCAAGTCTTAAAGCTGCCAAGTTTGAAGAGCCTTGCTTTAAGACATGTAATGCTATATATACAATTCAAATACAAACACCACAGAGGAAAAGTCCTGGGATCCATTGGGGTGGGAGGGAGGAGACCGTATGTACACAATCAGGATCAAAGCCCCAGCCACCTTCTCATTCCACATGACAACTAAGTTCTTCAGCTAGATTGCACCAGACCTTCAAGAATAACCAGAAGCTCCCTTTGGAGCCCCAGCTAGGCTTGAATGAGGAACAGCATTCAAGCACTGAGCCCACATTCTCTGAGAGTGACCTGCCCCTGGGGTCTTGTGCCTGCCTGCACTTGTCAAGGCGTTACAGGTAGTCCTCAACTTTTGACCACAATTGAGACCAACATTTCTGTTGCAAGACCCGTTGTTAAATGAATTTGCCCCGTTTTATGACTTTTCATGCCACAGTTCTTAAGTGAATCACGGCAGTTAATAACATGGTTGAGAAGTGAACCTGGCTTCTCCGTTGACTTTTTGTTAGAAGGTTGCAGAAGGTGATCACATAACCCTGGGACACTGCAGTTGTCATAAACACATGCAAGTTGCCAAACATCCAAATGTGGATCATGTGAGCATGGGTGTTGCTATGAGTGTCACAGGTGTGAAAATCCAAAGTCACATTTTGAGGTGCCATTGCAACTTCAGTCACTAAAAAAGTGGTTATAAGTGGAGGACTGCTTGTAATCTTCCTGCCCACCCTCAATCCCCTGAATCTTTCCCCAATAACATGCTAACCTCTCCACCAGACTGAGGGTCCCCTCCTCATTTTCCAAGTCACCCACTTTTTACATATGTAGTGGGGGGGGGGTTTCAGTCACATGGTCACTTTGACTTGCTTTTGACAGATGCTGATTTTACTCTTCCAAATTAGGCAGAAAAATTATTTGTAGGTTCAATATATCTGAACAAATAGATAAGTAGTTTTAACAATTTGGCAATTTTGTCTTTTAACTTTTAATGACTAAGTTATTTTGAATTTATATAAAACCTACAGTATTAAAAATTAACTGTAAAAAAATGAAGTGAATATGGTAGAATGTTTCATGTTTTCTCCAAGTTTTTATTACAAGAAAGGCGAATAACTTTATATGACTGAAGAGTATAATATTCATCTGCAAACATAATTAAATTGCACTTCATCCAGAAGATGATGTGAATGTATTTGCTGCTTCTGTGAAGGGCCAACTGGAGAAAATGACCAATCATTTCATTATCTTTCAGATAGTAGATACAGGATTGACAGTATAAATTAACTCATCCTAAATTATACAACTCATGCAGAAAAATCAAATTGCCTACTACTGTGTTATGTGACTGGAGCAAGCTGCTGATTTCTAGCTGCAGTCCAATTTAGAAACTTGCCTTTTTTTCAACTGCTCTAAATTTTTCTTACCTTGCTTTTAAATTGTTCTTATTTTTATCCTTATCAAATTTCATTGCCCTTGTTAAAATTAGTAAGATAACATGAATGTTGCTCCTCAGTTAAAATGAGTTTGGAAGTTCAAGAAATTCTAAACCAGTATTTGCAGATCGAAATATGTGTGATTCCGCGGAGAACACTGTTTTTGCACTGTTGGTGAAATGTTTCAAGTGAAATAAATTGCTAACGCTTGGTAAGACGTCTCATAACTCCTGAAGTCGCAAAGTTTGACTACTAGTCTGATGCATCCAAATCCGACCTTGAACTCCTCGTTTCGGAAGCCTGCTCTCTGCGATCGATTGCTACGGTCTCTCGCGCCTTAACCTGGAGTATCTTGACTTGAAGAGAAGGGCACCGAGCTTTGCTTCTAGTCCCGACGTTCAAGCGGCTCGTGCAAAGAGTCCGGACATTCCCGGGGAGTCCATCATGTGGCAAAGAGTGATGGGCAGAGCGTGGGAGTTCCGCCTGGTGTCGTTGCGCGGGCCGGGCCACCCTTTGGGGAAGTTCTTTCCCAAAAGCTGTGACCGAAGAGGACTAATAACGATGTCGGTCACTCCGGCTGTAGGCTTGGCTGATCAGCCCGCCAAAGTGGCGATCGAAGGACTGGCGCCTTTGCAGGGAGTGACGCTCCGGGCTCTAGTAGTGAACGGGCAGGGCAGCCTCTTCGACGCCTGCGCGCATTACCAAGCGGATCAGCAGGGGGGAATAGACCTGTCCAGAGATGTTTGTAGGGGAGGGGATTATGTCGGCGTTGAGCCCATGGGGCTGTTTTGGAGCCTGTCCCCCGCTACCATGGAGAAGCCCTACCAAAGGCTGGAGCCCGAGGACGTGGAGAGTCCCGTGAAAGTGCAGATCACGGTGCATCAGGAATATAGTCAGCCCGGGGCCATCCCCGGACAGGTGCTTGCTCAAACGAGCGTGGAGAGGTGGTTCACTCTTCCTGACGTGAGAAGGATTAGGTTGAAGGAAGGTGCGATAAGAGGCAGTTTATTCCTTCCGCCAGGTGAGTAGAGGAGGAGAAACTTACGATGATGGTGGTTCAGGCTCTCCTGAGTTAGGGCATTTCCTCCATCAGTTGTCTTGACAACTGATTCTGGACTTTTGCAGTCTCCGTCGAGGCAACCAAACGGGAATAAGCAGTGGGACATTTGTGGTAAGATACCAAAAAAAAAAAAAGATAGGGTTGATGGGCAAAGCTCAGGTATCTTGAACAAATTCAAAGCAGAAATAATAATATCCTTTCCATAACACAAGGGATTAAGCATGCATTGAATTCTAACCCATGGCAGTCATACCAAAAATACTTTTAAAATGAGCTTATTTCAATATTTTAAAAAAGCAATTTAAAAAATCCTGTTAATAATGTCCAGGCCCAACACATTTGATCAATATCTACTCCTATTAGGGAACGGCCCATTTCCAGGTGTGATAGACATGTTTGGTGATGAAGGTGGGTTAATCGAATTCCGATCCAGCCTTCTGGCAACCCATGGCTTTGCAGCTCTTTCCTTGCCATATTTTAATTTTGAGGATCTCCCAAAAGCCATGGATGATTTCCGTCTTGAATATTTTGAAGAGGCAGCCAGGTTTTTGTTGCGCCATCCGAAGGTGAGTGATGTGAACAAAACTTCTCTGTTTATAATACAATTTGCACCAAGGCAACATGAACAATTTTTTTCCAATGGATTCTGAAAAAAATATATATGAGGAAACTGTAAAGAAAACTTATGCAAGTATCAACCTCTTGTTTTGCCAGGAAACATACATTACTGTTAGATGTTATGTTCAAGCTCCCACATATAGATACTGGTAACAAAATGGTTAGTGCTTGTATAAAGGTAAAAAGATAAAGGTTTCCCATCCAGTCGTGTCTGATTCTAGGAAGCAGTGCTCATCTCCATTTCTTAGCTGAAGCCACGGAATGCTGTTACCTTCCTGCCAAACTGGTACCTATTTATCTACTTGCATTTGCATGCTCTTAAACTGCTAGGTGGGCAGGACCAGCACTTGTATAGCCAGGCATTTTTCTGCACATAAAAAGAATGAGTGGGAAAACTTTACAGGAGGTAGAAAAAGTCAGAGGCCATAAAATTACTGAGAGAATTTTGGATGTAAACTTACTTAGGTTTACAAGAAACCTGGTTTCAAAATCTTCTGCATTAATATTTTGTGTATAAAAGTATGCATAATTGTGATACTAAGCAAATAGATATCAGTTTAAAATAGGATTTCATGTACTGATTTGATTCTCAGTGATAATCATTTTCTATGACAAAAGACATAAATTCATTTAATATATTTTAAACATTTTTCTTTGTGAAATCTTTGTCAAAATCTGGTTTGTTTCCAAGAAAACTATGGAAACATACCTAATAATCACACCATATTACAAAGATTTAATCACACACAAAGATAGATATTCATTTTCTGAACAAAGTAGGGTTGTTCTCCCCTATACCACCCCAACACAGGGATAGGGTAGAGGAGAACAACCCAACTTTCCTTATACTTTTGCTCATAAATCTTTTATTCAGAATATTTTGAAGAGAGTTTGTTTAGGTTAGCCCTAAAAATAATTTAATATATAGGAATCGCTCTACCGTTCTGAAAGCAGTATGCAGTACAAAATAGAAAAGCAACTTTTGAGGGAGCAGATAGATTATATTATTTTATTTTTATTTTGAAAGAGAGATACATTATATAGTCCTATTATAAATATACTAAGCTTTTACTCATTGAGGTTTCTTTATTCGCCAATATTTCTAACAAATGAGCCTGAGAGGCTCAATGGCACTTATTAATAACGTAATTTATATAATAAATATCTTTTTGAAAATAGTTAATAAAACACTTGCATTCTTTTTAATTCTGTTCAATAATTTAACCCATGCTTTTTGATTCATGAAGGTTAAAAAACCAGGAATTGGTGTTATTGGAACTGGGAAAGGAGGAGAACTGGCTTTGTCAATGATGACCTTCCTTCCAGAAGTAGTGGCTGCTGTCTGCATTTCTGGCTGCAGTTCAGTCACTGCCACTGCCCTTCATTATGGAAAAGAGACTCTGCCTGGGCTTTGCTTTAATATGAGCAGGATCAAGATTTTGGACAATGGAATATTTGATATTTATGAGGCTTTGGATGACCCAAGGAATCCAGCCAATTCACAGTCCCGGATCCCCATTGAAAAGGCAGAAGGCCACTTCCTTTTTGTGGTCGGAGAAGATGATCACAATTGGAAGAGCTCCTTGTATGCTGAAATAGCTACTACATGCCTACACCAGCATAAGAAGGCCAATTTTAATCTCTTGAGCTACCCTGGAGCAGGCCATCGAATTAATCCATCTTTTTCTCCTGTTTGCCTGGTAGCTTTAGACCGTGTTCTAGGGGTGCCTATTCTGAGTGGTGGAGAGAGCAAAGCTCACGCCCATGCGCAGGAACATTCCTGGGGAAAGATTCTTGAGTTCCTGAATTTGCACTTGAAATGAGCAGGTGGATCGTTGAACACTGAAATTGAGAGAGAAAAGTTCCAAAGAAGACAAAGAAACAGTCAGAAACTGAGCAAGAAGGATGGGCAGAGATAACATATAAAATATATGCCTTGGGTTATATTATGAACAGAATAGATAACAAAATGAGGTTAGTTCAGATGGAGTGGTCAAAAGTATATATTTTTAGAAATGTAATTTAGAGTACTGCAGCGAAGAATCACTTCGTTTATAGTATTACAAATGTCAGTTAACTCCTAAAACAATGCAACAAATTACACACAGCCAGTAACACCGAGTGTGGCTTCTGCCATTTTGAGATCATATATCCAAAATATAACTATTTCCTGCCTTCTGGCAATTTTATGTTTTTGGAATATAACTACAGCACACATAGCAAGTACCGTATTGTTAACTTGAATAGAGAACACAAATGAGAGGTGGATATTATAATTTACAATGCTATATGAAGTCGCCTGCAAAGGGTATTAGCCAATTTAATATGAAAGATTTCTTTAGCTGGTAATCAAATTATACTGACTTTTACAACACAGATACCTTTTTTCATAAGACACCAAGACAGATTATAGCTTATGTGTAAGTCCAGCAAAAATCAACCTTGCCAAAAGTGCCAAAATCTTTAGTTGGAATCAGATTTTTAAAAAACAACATAATAACACATAGTAAAATTTCAGATTTTACTAGGACTGAAATTTGCAATTTTAACTAAAATGTACTTCCAAAATATGCAAACTATCCTATTAAAATGTTTAGAGTATGTCAGTTTTTATGGCTTGCTCACTATAGGAATGCTCTTATCACCAATCATTATAGTGACAAAAATATTTTATCTGCTCTGCATATTGATACCACCTAAATTGACATTTATAATGGTTCTAAGAATAAATTGTCAAACGTTTAATGTTTAGTATGAAGTATTACTAAAACTCTTCTTTAAAGTGTATTTTATTGCAATTTCTCAAGCACTATCTACATATTACTAAAATTCTCTTGTTTGTGTGTATCCAGTACCTCGATGAAACTGCACTGTAGAGCAACAGTTTTTGAACTAACATTTTGAACCTCAAATGAGCTAATTTACAGAATGCATCCAAAATCCAGAACCTATGACGCCTGTGAAATTGAAATTTGACAAATTCCATAAAACATTTTATGACTTAATACAAAATATCATAAAACATTTCAAGTGGACAGTTCCTAATGTTTGACTTTGCTATACAGTTCAACATGAGCTGCTTTTAAGACAGATACATCTCTGAATATCTCCCTGAATTTCTAAGAATTTTTCCAGTGAAGGCTGTACATTAGAAACTCTACCATTAAAGTATCTGGTAAGGAAATATCACTGAAACAATGACATGATGGTTCACAGCTTGTCTAGTACTTTCTAAAATTACGCCTAAGTTCAATAACTTTATGCACAAACATACTTGCTTTTCTACTGGGGGAAAAACACATCTTCTAAAATTAAACCAATAATTCTTCAAAAGTGAAATGGGTACAATAATAGTGTCACCAGGAATAAATTATATGTAACAATATGTCTTATCCCCAAGCTCAGAAAACAAAACCATTCACATAGTAGTTAATGATGGCAAAGAAATTGGTATTAGTGAGTCCAAACAAGCAGACACAACATTTTATTCCAGTTTAGGACTCTGGAAATTGAACAAAACTTTTGATGTACTGAAATTCAGTAGTAGTGGTTCAACTTAAAAGCTACCTCAGTCAACTACAGGTGAAACTCGAAAAATTAGAATATCATGCAAAAGTTCATTTATTTCAGTAATGCAACTTAAAAGGTGAAACTAATATATGAGATAGACTCATTACATGCAAAGCAAGATAGTTCAAGCTGTGATTTGTCATAATTGAGATGATTATGGCTTACAGCTCATGAAAACTGCAAATCCACAATCTCACAATATTAGAATATTGTGAAAAGGTTCAATATTCTAGGCTCAAAGTGTCCCACTCTAATCAGCTAATTAAGCCATAACACCTGCAAAGGGTTCCTGAGCCTTTAAATGGTCTCACAGTCTGGTTCAGTAGAAATCACAATCATGGGAGACTGCTGACCTGACAATTGTGCAGAAAACCATCATTGACACCCTCCATAAGGAGGGAAAGCCTCAAAAGGTAATTGCAAAAGAAGTTGGATGTTCCCAAAGTGCTGTATCAAAGCATATTAATAGAAAGTTATGTGGAAGGGAAAAGTGTGGAAGAAAAAGGTGCACAAGCAGCAGGGATGACCCAGCCTGGAGAGGATTGTCAGGAAAAGGCCATTCAAAAGTGTTGGGGACTTTCACAAGGAGTGGACTGAGGCTGGAGTCAGTGCACCACACACTGACAGATCCTGGACATGGGCTTCAAATGTATTCCTCTTGTCAAGCTGCTCCTGAACAACAATGTCAGAAGCGTCTTACCTGGGCTAAAGAAAAACAGACCTGTCCTCTTTTCTGATGAGAGCAACTTTTGCATCTCATTTGGAAAACCAAGGACCCAGAGTCTGGAGGAAGAATGGAGAGGTACACACTGCAAGATGCTTGAAGTCCAGTGTGAAGTTTCCACAGTCTGTGTTGATTTGGGGAGCCATGTTATCTGCTGGTGTTTGTCCACTGTGCTTCATTAAGTCCAGGGTCAATGCAGCCATCTACCAGGAGATTTTGGAACACTCCATGCTTCCTTCTGCAGACAAGCTTTATGGGGATGCTGACTTCATTTTCCAGTAGGACTTGGCACGTGCCCACACTGCCAAAAGCACCAAAACCTGGTTCAATGACTGTGGGATTACTGTGCTTGATTGGCGAGCAAACTCGCCTGACCTGGACTCCATAGAGAATCTATGAGGCATTGCCAAGAGAAAGATGAGAGACATGAGACCGAACAATGCAGAAGAGCTGAAGGCCGCTATTGAAGCATCCTGGTCTTCCATAACACCTCAGCAGTGCCACAGGCTGATAGCTTCCATGCCACGCCGCATTGAGGCAGTAATTGCTGCAAAAGGGGCCCAAACCAAGTACTGAGTACATATGCATGCTTATACTTTTCAGAGGTCCGATATTGTTCTATGTACAATCCTTGTTTTATTGATTGCATGTAACATTCTAATTTTCTGAGATTGTGGATTTGGGGTTTTCATGAGCTGTAAGCCATAATCATCTCAATGATGACAATCACGGCTTGAACTATCTTGCTTTGCATGTAATGAGTCTATCTCATATATTAGTTTCACCTTTTAAGTTGCATTACTGAAATAAATGAATTTTTGCATGATATTCTAATTTCTCGAGTTTCACCTGTATGTGCTGCACTGCATATTAAAACAATGAAAAAAGTAGGAAAAAGTATTACAAGTATTTCTTGCTGTATCAGGAAAAAGCAAGAACTAAAAAAAAAATCCCAATATCAGTAGGACATCCTGAAAGACCTACCTTTAAAGGGCCTTTAATGTTATTTAATATATCTGATGTATCTGATACTGATTAATTTATCTGGTTAATTGGAAAGTGGTTCAGAAAAGTTTTGTCACAATATGCCAATACTACTGTTTTTCTTTACATCTGGAATAGTCCGATACAATTTCTGATCTGAAATATATTTTTAGCCAGGAAATATTTCTTCAGCATTTTTGCAAATCAGGTGAAACACTATTTACATTCAAAAGCTTGATCGTTGAAAAAAAAAAAGATCTTTGCTTTTACTTTTGGGGAAATATGTGACAGCATCAGATCACTAAAAAGCACTGAATTTCACTCCTCTGTAAACAGATGTTACCCTGACGGCTCTGATGAAAGCGGAAATATAATCTGACAACAAACAAATATTCAATGAATTAAGGAGATCATATCTGGACTATAAAAATCCGGACGATCGTGGCATCAGAGAACTCCTCCGGATTTTTGAATCCCAATCATGACATGTCTGGACAATTTTTGTCTCTTCTTCCCTTGATAACGACAGTCACTTTCTGCTATTGCTTATTTAGGGCTTCCACCCACCTACCCACGCATGCGCACAGATACGCTCACGCATACGTCTCATTAAAAAAAAAAAAGTAAACCGAATTGCTGCGGCCAACGTGGTTCAACGCCTCGAAATTCCGCTTGTACGGGACGCACAGCGCCCCCTCCCTCCCGCTGAAAAAAACAAAAGTGGAAATCAACGTGCTTCCCCCTGCCTCTAGGGGGAGACTACATGAATGAAAAACCCCTCTATTTTCAGAGGGATCTCTATGATCCTGTTGTTGACTTTGCTTTTTTGCTCACGTGCCTGCTCCCCTTCCCCCCCCCCCGCAGCTTTCAGATGAGCATGCGCGCGGGTTTCGCTTGCCATAGCAACCAGGGCTGGAGACGGTAGCAACTGGAATCCTAACAATGGTGAGTTCCTTGGAGGGCTACCGGGGGAAGATGAGACGCCCGGGGGAAGATGAGGCGGAGGGAGGGGTTTCTCCTTTGGGAAGGGGAGTTGGGGGTCCCGCGTTGGCTGGCTGGCGGTAAGTAGTAGCTATTAATACTAATGGCGATGGCTGGTGGAGAGAAGGGAACAATAGCAACGGGAATGTTCTGACAAGAGAGGGGGAGCTTTGGGAAGGAAAGAAGGAGAAGGAAGGAAGGAAGTCGCTGAAGCAACAGGTTTCAAACATTGCTGGAGAAACCAAAGAGGCCTGTGAGAAAAGAAAGAAGAAAAGAAAGAAAAGTCGCTGGAGCAACAGGTTTCGGACATTGCTGGAGAGAGGAGATCTCTTGCGGGAAATGAGGGACCAAAGAGGCCTGTGAGAAGTCGGGTTGTGGAGTGGGAGGTACTGGACCCACTGTGAGTGCTTTAAAAAGTTTGAGGGAAGATGTCCCAGCAGCGATACAGGGGCTACAGTAGAGGAGCAAATGACCGCCATCAGTCATGTGAGTTGAAATCTCAAATAATCTCGCTTTGTCCGTGCAATCTTCCCCCTTTACATCTGACCCGTACAATGATTTCCTCTGGAAAATGGTGTGAGGGATTACAAAGAGAGGTGGGGTGTGTGTTAGAGACTTCTAAGTATACAGTGGAGCATAATGCTTGATTAGATAGTATACCCAACTTCCTCAGATCTCCATCAAAGAGCAAAAAACAAAAAAACCCTTGTGAGAACTGAAAACTGTCAACAAACAAGAGAGGAACTGAACCTTTTTTTAGTGAAATTAGTAAAAAAAAAAGCCAGGTACTTCAAGAGTTGTGCAATTGTTCCATCAGCAACAACAAATTCCCCTTAGAACCCACTGATGATGGAAAGTGGGAAAAGATTTGCTGATTTCTATCTCCCACTTCAGCCTCCTTGCACCACTTTCTCCACTGTTCAAATGGTCTGCTAACTGTAGGATGTCTAAAACAAAAATCCAAATAAGACTGCTTTTATGGAATCCCAGCTAGTAGGTATGTTACAATAAGTATAATAGGTCAGTGATAGGCAGAAGGCACTTGCAGACACCTGCAGCAAAGATTTTGACCTATCGCTTGTTAAGCAAAACATAATACAGCTATAAAGAAGGGATTTTGAGCATTAGGGATAAATTGTTATGTGCAAGGCCTTTGCATTTCATTTCTGTTTGAAAAAAATTCTGAGCTCAGAATTCTTTTAAATGGAAATGTTCATCTTTTTCACAAAGTAGGCAATTAATTTTTGAGTTCTGATTGCAAAGATAGGAGATTGAAGAAACTTAAAAAGCAACAAGATGTTTTTTTACTTTTGCCTTTATTTTGGAGGTCTTCATGATGGTTGAAGTCTGATATAATTTATTTTTTTCCCATAGGCGGGATGCTCATTTGAAGAGTGATCTGCATAATTGATGCAAATTAATTATAATCTAAGAGTTGTCTGAATATCAGAAGACGCCTTCAATAGAATGGTAAATAAATACTTTAAAATCATGACAGAAAATTTGCATTAAAGAGTTTGAAATTTTCCAAACTGTACTTAATATGTATTTATATGATAAATTTAAATACTGTTTTTCTGGCTTATGATTAGGGTGTGTTCAGCATTTCATACATAGATTGACGAGGTACTCTTTCTTTTCATATATACGTTACTATTTCTTTTTCTTCTTAAGAGGGATTAACGTAGGTTTTGATTGCAAGAGTAATACCTAAAAGCTACATGTAAAACTAGATGGAGCTAGAGAAGCCTTTCCATCTTGCTCTTTAAAAAATCTCAGTAAGCTCTTTTAAAGCACAGATTATCTATTATAAATGAGTGACACTACATAAAATTAAGTTGTTTTGTTAGCTGTTAAGAATTGACAGTCTAGTGCTAGTAGAGAAAAGCATCTTAACAGGATGTAAAGTTGCTAAAATATTTTGTATTACAAATCATATCTTCTGACCTCAATTTCTTTTCCTTTTTGAATTGCTTACTTATAAACTCTTGACAAAGGAAGTATATATTGTGCTACTACAGCTTCTATGCAGAATTATGCATTTTTTCCTTTTACAGAAATTTTCATTAGAATAGAAAAGTAGCAACATTTAAATGTAAAGGGTGAAAGTTTGCATCTCACATACATAATGTTATCCTTTCTGTGAATAAAAGCATCAAGAATAAATCATCAAGAATAAAGACTGACTATAGCTGTCATATCAATAATTCATAGGTAGTTTTATTCATGCTTTACTGAAAACATTTTTATTCCTTAATATCTGTGAACCATATAGTCTTATCCTATATTATTTGATGGTCTTTGTAGTGTTTTTATTAAATTGAACCACAAATTTCCATATAAAAATATAGCAAGGACAGATGAACCCTATAAAATAAACAGTGTGTCAGCTAATTTTGGATGGTTTAAATATAAGAAACAGTGCTACAGTTTTAATTTTGTATAGATTATCCTGAACATGAAGTTGGACAGACCTTTTGTATCAGTAGGATTGTTACATGCTAATATGTATTTCTTGTCAAAAATAGGATTGGACATGAAAAATCCTGAAGAAAGAATTTCAGAAAAAGACTCATGAAGTGTAGACATAAACCAAATTGCTAAACTGCCTCTCTAATAGGTCCTCTGATACCACCCAATGAAAAATCAGAAAACAAATCATATAATTCATATCTTTCATTATTTCTACAGAACTCGGGGAGTGAGAAACTTAGAGAGTTTAAACTCATAATACAGAAAGACAGATATGGGGTTAATAGATGCAGCAAAATTATGGCATGTATCCATACTAAGCAGTTAAAAGGTTGTAGAGATCTGGAATATTAACAGAAGGGCAACAGAGATTATCACAGAATGAGAAACTAAATCCCATGAAGAGAGATTAAAGGAGCTGGGTTCTTTTAACCTTTAAAAATGAAGAGTGAGAGGGACTATAATAAAATTTCAAATATCTCAATTACCAAAGCAGTAATCATCTCCCTCTTCTTGATTATGTTCAAACAGAAATTAAATAGTCTTTTATTGTAGATATATTCATTTAGATTCCTAAGATATCATACTTAACAGGCTCTTTGAATGTTATGATTATTTTTTTGTGTCATGGATGTTCTGCCAGCACTCATTAGCTTATAGTTTACTGAAGCTGCTTTTTCTTGTATCACATGGACCTCCAGCAGTGGCCTTTTTGATTGTAGCCCATGGTGCTGTCTATTGTAGCAGAAGTTCACAGGCAGTTTTTGCTGCCAAGAGACTGGGGTGGGGGCGGGGAGGAATTGAAGGAGCAACTGCTGAATTTGTTTGCTAAGTGAATAACATTAGCCTTTGACAGATTTTATTTTAGTAGGTACATTCATACAAATAATAAAAAGTGATGTGAGGCGGAGTGAAATTGTTAATAACAATCAACAAGTATATCACTATAAATAAATACACACAGCAACTTGTTCAGTTCTTCCCAGTTTCTACCCACTTTTCCTCAGGCCTTGCTCTTTTCTGTACATGCTGCTCTTGAATTGCTTGAAAAGAGCAACAACAGCTCAAAAGGCCCCATATTCATTAGAGAGTGTGAGGTAAGGTTGGAGAATAAAGTAAAAAATCATCTACTAGTTCTGATCCCTCTAGCTCACATAAGCTAAAATGAACAGTTTTTTCTTCTTTTAAAAAAAATTCCATTGATTTCAGATTTGTATAGATGAAACTCATAGGACTTTTAACCTGGGACCAGAATAAAATTGTAAATACTTATTAAACTGATCCCCTCCTTGATCAAGACTTAATTTAATTAATGTCAGTGTGGTATGCTGGTGAAAGCATTAGACTGGGACTGAAGACACCAAGGTTCAGGTCCACCCTCTGACACAGAGCTCATTAGCTGACTTTGAGCCAGTTACACTCAGCTCAGCTTAGTTCAATCATAGGGTTGTTTTGTGGAGGGAAAAATGGAGTAGGGAGTGTTTTGTATGACTTCATGAGCTCCTGAAGGAAAAGCAGGATACTGCCAAATCTTAACAGACAAAGAAACAAATGATAAAGCCAAACAATTATCTAAGAGGGTTATGTAAATCCATTATATTTTATTTATATGTTGTTGGGTTTTTTTGTTAGGCAAAAGCAACAACTATCAAGGAAGCTCTAGCCAAATGGGTAAGTAAGAAATATATTGTGTGTTCTTTATATGGATTTTCTTTATCAAGAAAAGTTGTTTTCATTGTGCTTTTTTTAATGTTTAGTTGATGCAAAACGTTTGCAAGGAACCCAGAAAAGCTATGTAGAAAAGCAAACTTTTTAGCTTATTTAGTATTTGAACTGCAAATATACTTCTGTGAAGTTTAATTAATATTTATATAACACTATGAGCTGAAAAATGCCTCTTATAGACATTCCATAATCATTGTATGAGGAATATATATTAAAAGCCATGTCAAGAACTCATAGAAATCAAGCTTTGTTAATATAGGGAATAAATATAGTAGATAAACAGCTAATGGTAGACATGTTTGGGAAGGATTTATTAACAAACTGGGAAGAGAAGCAGTAAGTAAAGTGGTTTGATTATTGGGCTGCATATCGCAGAATAAGGCACAGAGAACCTTAGTGAAATTGAAGTTGTATAGAGCAATAAGGAAAATTAGAAATGTTGGGAACCTAAGTAAATGTGATTTAGTTAATTGCTCAGAGATTGAATGCTCTAAAATGAGAATATATAGAATGAGAATTTATATTTTATATCTAGCTAAGAATACCCCTCCCCCCCAAATTTATTGGAATATTCCATGTTGATGGCATATGAGCAAATGAAAACTTGAAACAGTTTGATTGTTATACAGTATATTGTGTTCAGGACAAAATTACAAAGTTTCAATGTTCTGGTCAGGTCAGCTGCTACAGCATTCCAAAGCTTAAAAGACAATTGGGGACTTCTTCCCTAGTTATCTGTGATTTACAACTGTGTGAACAATAATAACATGGCTGTTCAAACTCAGGTTTGAAGTATGTCCCGCTAGCCTGCCCTTAGACCCAGCATGCTCACTGGATCCATTACTCCACTGGTTCCTTTTGGTCACCTCCACAACCACCTTTTTCCTTTTTATCCTCAACCCGTAGGTGAAAATGGATTAAGTGGATACAAATTCAGTTCACTGTTAATTCATCTTGTGTAAAGGAAGAGCTGTATTACTATTTTGAGCTGTGAATTCAGCTTTCCCCTTTTAATAGGTAATAGCACACAATTCTACAGGAAAAGCTGTCATACCATTAATAACCAGTTTCCTTACTGCTGTCACCCTCCCTGTCCCTTGAGTAGTGAAGCCTTATTTGGCCCTCCCTCTGACTGTCATCGTCCCTCCAAAAGCGCTTGTCCTTTTCCCATAGTAGTTTAGGAGAGTCATTTTTTATAGGGGAGATTGAATGGATGGAAATTGAGGCAAGTAGAGGGGTTTAAAGGTTTAAAAAAGATAAAACGTCTTTATAAAGTTTGTGGCAGCATCTAAGAAGCAGCATAGCAGTGGCATCACTATCTCTATGCAGGTAATTTCTGATTGGAAGAATTAATTCCATCAAATACATAGAGAGATTTTTTTTGTGACAGAAAAAAAAGTGTCTTTCAAAACATGAAAGGGGTTGATCTTAAAGGGGGTTGAGGAGAGTCCTTTCTCTCCTTATGTTGCTTTGAAACAGATGCCAAAACTCAAAAGGGGCACACTTGAACTAAAAGGTAATGGGGTTGTGTAGAGGCTGCCTCAGAGGCAGACATGCGCTCACCAGCTTTAGTAGTAGAAGTGCTAGTATTGAATTCAGTCTTGTTACAAGTCCTAGTCCTCCTCCCTTAAATGTTTTATTAACAGCAGTTTAATGCTGGCCTGAGTTACTGAACAGTTATCATTCCATACCAAAGTTCAGTCCAGCCTAGGGGGGAAAAACCCTAAGTATCACACTTGGTGTTTAGATTGAGAAGCGTGATAGCATATTTGTTTAAAAGGAGGTCATTTATTTTTCTCTGAGTAGATTAGAATAAATATTCTCTAAATTTTGAGGAAGCTGTTTTTGTCATTCTTTTTTTTACTTCAGGAAGAAAAAACTGGTCAGAAGCCATCGGAGGCCAAGGAAGTGAAACTCTATGCTCAGGTTCCCCCTATAGAAAAGATGGATGCTTCTCTTTCCACTCTTGTTAACTGCGAGTAGGTCCTAAATACTAAAATAAATGTATCCTGGGTTGTTCGTACTTTCAGCAGTACAGGTTGCCCTTATTTAGTGACAGTTGAGACCAGCAACTCCATCATGAAACAACTCTATCAGTCCCTACATGGGAAATCACATGACTGGGACTGTGCTTTCCTTTTCCAGCTTACTGGGCAATGCTCCACGTTCAGCTTGAAACTGCAAGACTAAATAGTGTTACATCTTCAGTTTTGCTTGCCTCCTAACCGTTCCTTTGCCCTTTGGAATGTTAGCTCCAACTGGAATAATTAACAAAAAGGGAATTAATGTTTGTATTTACGTTGATTGGAGAGGAAGGGATTACAGGAGAGTAAGCAATCATACAATGGGAAATACACATTGAAAGCAGTTTTATTTGTTAAATTTATTTGCCACCTACCTCATCATGGCGTTACTCGAAGCAGCAATTAAACTTAATGCACTGATGTTGGCAACTGCAAATGCAGTATACAGAACACCTAGGTAATTCCTGGTGCTCCTTCTCACTCTCTTGGAATCCTTTCCTCTCCAATTTCTTCATTCTTCAAGAGGGGAGGAACTAGTCTGGCACAGGAGAGATTGCTGTGAGAAATATTTGACACCTCCCAGAGTGGAGAGGTTTCCACAGGTATATTTTGGCACATGATTACTATCCTACATCCCCACCCATCGCCCCCTCCAATTTCTCAATTGTAACATTAAATATTTTTGAACATTACTCTTTTGAACAACTTTATAATATTCACAAGGCTTAATTGATATAGTGTCACATCATGATTTGAATTAATCGTATTAAAAACTGGGCTGTGTTTTCAGTTTTGAAATGTAGAAGTTTTGCACTATTTACCCTTTAGTCTATATTGAGCAATTAGCTTTCAGAACCTGTGCCACAGTGCTTCTTCAGTTCCTATCTCGCCCCCAATAACAATTGTCACAAAGTATTTACAAATCTTCAATCGTTACAGAATTACAATTAATATAAAATCCTCTTTTTTCTTTGTTTCAAGAAAACTCTCTTTATCTACAAACTGCATTGAAAAAATTGCCAACTTAAATGGGCTAAGTAAGTAATAATGAACATATTGCATCCTTTCTCAAATTTCTATAAACCACTATTTTAGAAATAGAGCTTATATATGTCACACTTGCTTATGCCACTTTATCAGTTTTGTTCCTCATTCTATTCATAGAAAATAACTGTAATTGTATGTATCTCAAACTGCAAAGATAGGAATGTCTCCTTTTTAGTATAACTGTAAGCAGATACCTTAATGTTTATAGCTGTCTTAAATATTCAGTTGAATAGAAAGTTGGGATATAAATTGGATAAATAAATTTAAAAAATACTGTTCCCATAATCCTTAATGAATAGATTTTTCTCCTGCTATTGATTGATTCAGGCTGATAATAATAACTATTCTTATTAATCTGTCGTATGGTGCAGCAAAATACAGAATTAATTTTAAAATCAAGCTTTATTTGAAAAAAATATAAGCAGTACAATATTAATTTGATTTTATTTGAATACTGATTAGAGTATAGCCTTCTGCATTGATAACCTTTTGCATCATTTGAAATAGTAGACTTAAGGCATTATTGAAAAAAATTTGAATATTTCTCAAGATATTCAATATAATTTTTCCACTTAAAATGAATTGATTGTTTTTTCAAAACATTCTCCTCGATTGTTTTTACGTCTTGGGAAACTTGTCATCTAGCTATGTCATGAATCCACAAATGCACAATTCAGTGTGCTAATGAAGAAGTTGATTATTTTGGCTCATTACATGACTTGAGCTTATGGCTCTCTGAATAATAATCTGTTCAGAGCATGAGGAAGATTCAGGGAAACTCAACTACCTGCTAATTCCTTCATTATTTGCAAAAAGGAACAACCATCTCTCTGGTTCACAATGAAGCCATTAACAAGAAAGTGAATATACTCTCTCTTAATGAAATATAAGATGATTGGGCTTTGAAGATTAAGTACTATAACACAGTTGCTGAAATTTCTATAACCTGTCCCCTTAATCCTTTTACTAAATATTGTTAAAGTAGCCTGAAAAATCTTGCTTTTCATTGAAAGCCTAATAGTATGGTTAAAGCAACCACAAGACATTTCTAAATAGTACCTGTTCAGTGCTGAATATCTATTTCTGTTCTGTTTTTTAAAAAAATTTAAATCCTTTTTCCTTTAACAGTTAGGTGTAGTGGGTAAGGCACCAGGCTAGAAACTGAGAGATTGCAAGTTCTAGTGCCACCTTAGACATAAAGGCATCTGGGTGACTTTGGACCAGTTATTTTCTCTCAGCCCTAGGAAGAAGGCAGTGGCAAACCACTTCTGAAAATCTTGTCAAGAAAACTGCAGGGATAATAGTCAACGGGAATCAATACACATGTTCTTTGACCAACTGGACTGATATGCATTATTCTTAGGTATCATCTGCTGGGCTTTTATTTATTTTTTAAATGTATATGTTGCCCAATTCTCAAAACGTCTGGATGGCTATAGTATTTTTTAACTAATAATGTAGAAAAATAAGTGTGTTTCTGTTACAGAAAACTTGCGGATATTGTCATTGGGAAGGAACAACATAAAAAATCTGAATGGGCTGGTATGTAATCTTGATGAGGTAGTTGTTTCTCATAATAACAGTAAGAACATCAGTGTATGTAGTGGATATTAGTTTGTTGGGACAAATATTGAATAAAACTAACAATACTGTGTAAGTTTTAAAAAATCTTGAAGAATCATAGATTCTTAAAGAATTATAAGATCTCTACCTCATGTCAAGAGGATATATGATTTCCACAAATAGTTTTTCACAGCTGGTCACAGTCACTGATAACATCTCACTAAGTAGCCATATTCACTTAATGGACCTGCACAAGAAGGGTTGCAAAAAATACCTTAAGGTCCAGTTATGACTGGCAGATAATACAGATAACAAACAGCTTACGTAATAATTTGATCAGCTAGTTCCATTTAACATTGCTGCCATATGGAAAATTTCATATTTTATTCCTTGCATTACAGTAATTCAACTACACATTGCCAGAAAGCAGTAGCAGCAGCAATCTATCAAGGCAAGGTCATAGTATATCTGCTAAATTGTTGAATGGTACATGATACATATGTATGTCTGCACCAAAATAATGAAATCAAGAGCACTTACACTTAGGACCCTGGTTTTTAGGAACGTACAACTTCTCTGAAGCACCATTATATATCTGGATTGTTTATTTGTTCTCGCCCAGTCTATCGCCCTGCTGAATTCTAGTTTAGAACACCTTTTGTCTCATAAAAATTAGGTTATTTCTTGCAACAAACTGATATCTTAGTAGATCAGAACTCTCAGATATGCCAGTCTAGAACAGGCTAAAATCCCAAAGAAGCCACCTGACATGACTCTTGCCTGACTGATGTAATCCAAAAGGCTTTGAAATCTGTGGATCCCTCTTATGATCCCCATCCCAACTTGGGAATATATAGAATGAGGATTTGATTTTTCTTTCAACTCTATCGTTTTTCTATTTTAGACTTAATTTAGGCTCTGGTACTATGGAAGCAAAAGATCGTACATATTTTTTTTTTGCTTTTTTTTAACTTAAAAGCTTCTGATGGCAATAGAACATTTTTCCCAGAACATTATTGTCTTTCAGGAAGCAGTTGGGGATACCTTAGAGGAGTTGTGGATCTCATATAACTTGATTGAGAAGTTGAAAGGTCTCCATGTGATGAAGAAGCTGAAAATTCTCTACATGTCCAATAATCTGGTGAAAGATTGGGGTAAGGCAATGTCATCATGTCTACTTTGAAACATATTGATCATTTTACTAGGGTTATATTTGATAATTTATGTTATGGTGCAAGGATTATCTTAAAATATGTTCACAATTACCCTTCTGCACCACAACCATATTTTTATTTTGAAAGGTCACAGATAATGTGCAATAAAATTAAGTGCAATAATGGGCCTAACCAAAGGAGGTGGATATATAGAAATTATGTTATTTGCTCAGTATTCATGTACATTTACATTTCATATATGCTTTGCTATTGATGAATCTGTATAGTTACCTAGCTAGCTATTTGCTTGTGCTTTTTTACTCCATGCTTAGAAAGTATAGTATGCTTATTTAAAAGTATATAAATATAGCTCAATATACACTGCTCAAAAAAATAAAGGGAACACTTAAACAACACAATGTAACTCCAAGTCAATCACACTTCTGTGAAATCAAACTGTCCACTTAGGTAGCAACACTGATTGACAATCAATTTCACATGCTGTTGTGCAAATGGAATAGACAACAGGTGGAAAGCATAGGCAGTTAGCAAGACATCCCCAATAAAGGAGTGGTTCTGCAGGTGGTGACCACAGACCACTTCTCAGTTCCTATGCTTTCTGGCTGATGGTTTGATCACTTTTGAATGCTGGCGGTGCTTTCACTCTAGTGGTAGCATGAGATGGAGTCTACAACCCATGCAAGTGGCTCAGGTAATGCAGCTCATCCAGGATGGCACATCAATGTGAGCTGTGGCAAGAAGGTTTGCTGTATCTGTCAGCATAGTGTCCAGAGCATGGAGGCGCTACCAGGAGACAGGCCAGTACATCAGGAGACATGGAGGAGGCTGTAGGAGGGCAATAACCCAGCATCAGGACCGCTACCTCTGCCTTTGTGCAAGGAGGGACAGGAGGAGCACTGCCAGAGCCCTGCAAAATGACCTCCAACGGGCCACAAATGTGCATGTGGCTGCTCAAACGGTCAGAAACAGACTCCATGAGGGTGGTATGAGGGCCCGACGTCCACAGATGGGGTGTGTGCTTACAGCCCAACACTGCAGGATGTTTGGCATTTGCCAGAGAATACCAAGATTGGCAAATTCGCCACTGGTGCCCTGTGCTCTTCACAGATGAAAGCAGGTTCACACTGAGCACATGTGACAGACATGACAGGGTCTGGAGATGCCATGGAGAATGTTCTGCTGCCTGCAACATCCTCCAGCATGACCGGTTTGGCAGTGGGTCAGTAATGGTGTGGGGTGGCATTTTAGGGGGCCGCACAGCCCTCCATGTGCTCACCAGAGGTAGCCTGACTGCCATTAGGTATTGAGATGAGATCCTCAGACCCCTTGTGAGACCATATGCTGGTGCGGTTGGCCCTGGGTTCCTCCTAATGCAAGACAATGCTAGACCTCATGTGGCTGGAGTGTGTCAGCAGTTCCTGCAAGATGAAGGCATTGATGCTATGGACTGGCCCGCCCATTCCCCAGACCTGAATCCAATTGAGCACATCTGGGACATCATGTCTCGCTCCATCCACCAACGCCACGTTGCACACAGACTGTCCAGGAGTTGGGGGATGCTTTAGTCCAGGTGTGGGAGGAGATCCCTCAGGAGACCATCCGCCACCTCATCAGGAGCATGCCCAGGCATTGTAGGGAGGTCATACAGGCACGTGGAGGCCACACAAACTACTGAGCCTCATTTTGACTTGTTTTAAGGACATTACATCAAAGTTGGATCAGCCTGTAGTGTTTTTTTCCACTTTAATTTTGAGTGTAACTCCAAATCCAGACCTCCATGGGTTGCTAAATTTGATTTCCATTGATAATTTTTGTGTGATTTTGTTGTCAGCACATTCAACTATGTAATGAACAAAGTATTTAATAAAAATATTTCATTCATTCAGATCTAGGATGTCTTATTTTTGTGTTCCCTTTATTTTTTTGAGCAGTGTATAAATATACCTAAAACAAGATGGATTGATGACATCAGCAAGTATTGGGGGCTCAATTGGCAAAAGAAAGCTCAGGACCATATATTTTGGAAACATGTGGAAGAGGCCTTCATCCTGCAGTGGATAGACAATGGCTAAAATAATGATGATGATATTTATAAACTGGCATTGCATGTTTTCTAGTTTTGATTAGTAATGTAGCTGTGTTCTGATTTTACTTTTTTAATTTCACTAGATAAAATAAATTAACAGAATTGTGTACGTATAACTGAGCTAACTATATGATATAACATTAAAAAGAAAGGGAAAAATGAGATTTATAAACATCTTTTAAAAATGATCAAATTGCTTGGAAATCCTTTACCTTGTTCCTTTATTAAAATAAGACTAATTTGAAGTTTGAGAGCAAGCTTGGCATAATGGTTAAGGCACCGGACTTTAAACCAGGAGACTTTGAGTTCTATTTCCATCTTAGGCATGAATCCAGCTAGGTGACCTTGGGCTGGTCACACAATCTCAGCCCTAGGAAGAAGGCAAGAGCAAACCAGTTCAAAAATCTTGCCAAGAAAACTCTAGGGATCAGTCCAGACAGTTACCAGGAATTAATATGGACTCAAAGGTACACCAAGGGGACGGGGGACGGGAGACGGACATTTGATCAACAATGTGTAGCAAGTTCATATTTATCTTTTCGGTATTGTATAATTTTGTCATTGTCCCACTTGTGAAAATTCCATAATTTTTAATATCTTAATTAATTCAAAATACTGGGCATATAGCCAAGAAGAATTTGTCACATAAAGGTTGGGCTAAAATCCCTAACTGTCTTGTATGTTAGCCAGAATGTGGAAATAATAGGACAAACCTAGCTGAACAATGTCTTTGAATGTTTTAGTTTCTGAATTGCATTTCTAACAAGGAAGCCGTTGCAGCCAACCTGCTTTAGGCATTCTCTGAAGTACTCAGTATTGGCTGACTTTTTTTTGTATATACTTGGAGACTAATTTTTTGATTTTCAAAAACAGCAACTCATTATTTCATATTGTTTCAATATAATTTTCATCAAATTTCTTCAACTTTTTACAAAAGTATGTTGTTAGTGTAGAAGCCTCAATGAATTCCTTCAGAATTTCTAACAAATGCAGAACTTCAGGTGCAGCAATAGCATCAATCCCTGGCAGTCCAAGTACAATTTGAAATTCTCTGAGATCAATCAAATGAGTTCAAGTTTTACAGAAGTTTTAAAAACTTATTCCTTAGTCCCAACTAATATTTAGAGAAACCAGTCTGTCCAGAAAATGGATTTACCCACTATTTTTATAGTTTGTTTTATTTGTGCCTTTGAATCAGTCTTGACACCTGGCAATTGCCTGGACTAGGCCCTACATTTTTCTTGGCAGCATTTTTTGAAGTGGTTTGCCCTTCCCTTCTTCCAAGGTCCACCCAGATGGTTTTGTGCCTAAGGCAGGAACTCAGTCTCCCGGCTTCTCTCTTGGTGTTTTTGGCTACTACACTAAACTGGTTCATTGTGTGTTGCAGTTATCTAACGTAAACTTGACTGTTGATTATTGTACACTACCCAGAGTCATTTCTCATGAGATGGACTGCTATATAAATTTGATTAATAAATTACTTTATAAATAAACTTCAGAGTAAAAAGATTAAATTGTATCAGTAACACAATGTGTTTCATACACATATATCTATTAACATTAAGCACAGCTGTGGACTTCCATTTGTTAAGTAAAAGTTGTGTGTACTATAATCTTCAAAGCCAGCTGCGCATATGCCATTTCACCTGATAATTATTAGAAAAGAAATATCTATACCACATTATCTACATTAGCAGGACTGATCTGGAACACCATCTTCTAGATAATGAGACATACTTGTGTTATAAATGCAGCTGATCTAGCAACCTCTGATCATTTACCTTAGGACTGTAATTCTGTAGAGGTGGACAAACATTTTCATGGGCAGATAGTAAACTATTAGGATGGTACCGTGCTTTGAATTTCAAGAGTACTGCTTGCATTCCCATGCTTGCTCTGAAACGTGTGTGTGTGTTAGAGTGACTGTAGATGTGCAAGTGGTATCTGTCAACAGCACCAAACCCCCAAACATGACTTTCCAGCTGTAGAGAGTAGCAAGGTAATCTTGGGGAAAGACACAGCTTCTTTAAGGAGTTTTTAACAGGTGATATGTGAGGAGCCACACAGATCTTTACTGAAGTAGAACATTGCTTATTACCACTTTTGCAACCTCATTGATTAAAACACTATTGAATGGCACAGCTGTTTGAGAATCAGAACTAGAAATCTGGAAAGTTCCTATCAGAGGTAGTTAAATATTGCACAGTAAGTGAATTATTCTCTTAACATCTCCCTGCCCTTCTTCTAACATGGGCATTTGGTAGTAACAATGTTAAGCTACACATCATGATATTATCATGCAGATAAAATAAGCTCTGTAATTGCAATGATGATGTGATGACTCTTATCTCCCTGCAGGCTCCCATGCCTTTTGGTTTTGAAGTTGTGATTTTCCCCCTCCCTTCATAATTTTTTTTTTCTGATTCTCTTTATGTATGCAGCAGAGTTTGTGAGGTTGGCAGAGTTGCCGCTACTGGAGGACCTGGTGTTTGTAGGCAATCCACTGGAAGAGAAATACTCTGCTGATTCACAGAGTGCCTGGGTTGAGGAAGCAACCAAGCGAGTGTCCAGACTGAAGAAACTCGATGGTGAGAACTGAGGAGGAATAGCATAGCATTAATATTGGAGCCAAAGTTCATATGAAAAGTTAAGCTTGGGAAAGACCAGTTCAGTTGTGATCGTTCATTTTGAGTCTTTTGAAAAGTCAAATAATGATGAACATTTTTTACTGGACCTTTTGGTTGCAACCAAATTATTCAGCAAAGACCTATAATATACATAAATGAAAATCTGTAGATTTTTATTCCTACCAAATATTTGTTTTTAAAATAAAAATACTGTGATTGTTGCTGTTTAAAAACATCACAAAAAGCTCCTGTAGCCACATATCATCAGTGTTAGAAGAGAGAGGAGATAAATTAAGCATGTTGGAAATACAGGCCACCTCCCAATAGACACTGATGTTAAAAATCTGATTTTATTTTAGGCTTTGGAATAATCCCCCCCCCCCATCCTTAAGTCTTGATCTGAACATATGTACTAATATAAATAACATCATGGGAAATTGGTGGGTGCATTAGTAAATTCACTGAGGAAGTGAGTTGGGCAGTCATTTTACTATTTTTATGCTAATATTTATTTTAGTTTTGAGTAATAATTTAAAGAAAAACAGAATCTAGCTTAGAATTCCTTTAAATTCTTGTTAACAATCTTTACCAAAATGATATATTGTTGTGAGTCTTCACACACAGCACAAGGTTGTGGAACTGGATAGGGAAAGGAAATGGAAGAAAATGCAATAAAGATTGTTGTGATTTATGTATTTATTTATTTTAGGTATCCCAGTTATAAAACAGGAAGAAGGGGAAGAAGGAGAAAACTAGCACCTTTTCTTTCACATTAAATTATTGATGTATCTCCAGCACTATATAGGATGTGATGCTTTTGTATAAATATGTCTTTAAAGAAAACTTAGGCAACATTTTAACTGATTCATCTCCATGTTCTTCTCACCCAAAGAATTCTTACTTTTTTATAATGAATGTTTATTTTTTATTTAATACCTGGAGTTTTTCTGCAAGTGTATGATTTTTTTAAAGAGCAGATTTCTATAAGCACATGTTAAATAGTTTTCTCTAATCATTTGAGAAATGGCAGAGGGGTTCTATATAGTATGGCTTTTTAAAAATATCTTTTTTTAAAGAAAGGATTCAAATAATGGTATGCTTTAACATTTATCAAATGTCTGTTTTTTCTCCCGAGGTAATATCCAGTATTAGATGAAAGAGTGAAGGCAGTTTCTTTTTTCTAAGTGAAGTATTTCTCTCCTCATTTGGTTTAATATGCTGGTTGAATTTTCCTTTACATACTTTAAGGAACATGAAACTCTTAAGCAAAGGTTTTGTGTTGATTATACGTTGCAGAATGGCTGAAGTCCTTTATTATTTTGGAGTCGAGTAATCTGAGAAAAGAAAGCAGCTGTCAAAAGAAGTTGAAATATAGCAGGTTGTTCAAAACTAAGTCTCCATTTTAGTAACTGATAAATGACAGCTGAAGAAATTACAGGAAAGGAAGAAGAGAAAAGCAATAATGCTGTAGGATATATAGTACACGTGTTCCAAGGCAGTTTATTATTATTTTTTTCATAAATCTTACTTTGTCAAAGCCTTCTTCTTCCCTAAAATTTTTCACTGATATGATTGGACATTTTGGTCATTCCTAAAGATGGAAAGGAGAAAAATAAAGTAAGACGTTACTATTTTGTTGAAGGTAAAATTTAATTTTATAAAAACTTGTGGCAGTTTTTTTCTGCTCTGTTTTTTTTTCTACTTAAAAGTATTGGCTCTGACAATCCATTTCTCAGTTAACAGATGACAGGCATTCAAAAAGGGGAATGAAACTGCAACCCTCTGCGTAGTTATATGGGAATAAATACTATGAAACACAGCGTTGCTCACTTCTATTTTACACAAACGCTGAGCCTTTGCTCAGGAATATTCTTTAGCCTTTGGATTTATCCTAACCATTTAAATGTGGCAGTTTATTAATAAGATTACCCCTGTGATTCTACTCTGTCTCAAATCTATGTATTTATGAGGCATTAAGACAGTTATTACTCTGAAAGAATTTTGCTGTTCAGATTTTTTTAAAGAGGAGAATTCCTTGCTATTTTAGGCTTGGTTACGTCAAAGAGCAATCCTCCAAGATATTTCACAAAGTTTCAGGGAAAGTTTCACGAGGTTCAGGGAAATTGTTCTTGCTCATCCACAGATTGGATTTTTTTAAAAAAAAGAACTTTCAGATAATTCAATTTTTACTTTCATCCTGTTTATATTTAATCTTAATTGTTTCTGTGAATCAATCCATGTTGATGCATCATTTTAAACAAAGATATTTATATGTTAGGTTTAGTGCTTGGCATTGTTTTTCTCATATGTTCTCATTTGTATCTTTATTGTTGTCTTCACATTAGGCCAGGTGTAGGTAATCTTTTGTTGGCCAGGAGCCCAGCTGAATACTGGGGAAGAGGCTGCAAAATGAATGGAATACTTCACATAAGTGAGCAGAATTATGTTCAGGGTTACAGAGTACTAGATTTAAAAGGCAGCTAAAAACTGAATAAACAGATGTTTTAGGGCTTATGCTACTGTAAGATGTCATCTTATTTCCACAAATGGAAAATGATGCTATCGGTTTTCAGCAATCATAACAAGCTTTAAGAACTTTAGAGCTATAAAAAAAGGCCAGATTTCATGATGTCCCTAGAGGTTGCTCAGCTCTGCTTTAGGCAATAAGTCTGTTTGGGTGCAGTAGAAGTTACTTCTGAGTAAACATGCGTAGGATTGCACTGCTTGCAGCTGAGGAAGTTTATGAACAGATACATGATTGTAGTTCTTAGAACTTTTTCCTTTTTATAGTTTAAAGTAAGGCACTGTATAAGGCATTGTGTTCCCAGACCAGTGAATGTCATTTATATACGTCCTCTTCTTTGCATCTTACCAATTAATTTTTCTCTTGGTACCTTTGAGGCAGGGGAAACTGGTGAACTAATGAAGAGTTGTCATATCTGGAGTACAAAAATTGGAGCTGCAAACATTGGGGCATTTGCTGGATGATAATAAACAGTCATAGTATTGTATTATCACTTTCCTGCCATCTACTGGTCATCCAGATTTTTGCAGCCTGGATAACCTTTAACTGGGCAAAACAGTGCCATAAAGCCAAAGTCAAAGTACTTTAAATGGGCTAACTTACAAAATTCATCCAAAATCTGGGACCCATAATTCTTGTGGAATGGATATTTGACAAGTTTTATGAAACATTTATAACACAAACATTATCCTAAAGCACTTTATGGCATAATAAAAAATGTCATAAAACATTACTGGTCCTGATGTTTGGGCTATTTTCAAGGCAGAAACATCTCTGAATGTATCCCGGCTTTTTCAGTGGAGGTAGTGCATTAGAAGGCTCTGTCATTGTTGAAGACATTGAGAAATCTGGTAAGGAAATTTCTCTTGAAAGGATGACATTATATAGTGTGGGTTTAAGAGGCTGATTCTCTGCAAGGATTTGCTCTTGAGGCATTTAGTGCCAGCGATTAAGATAATGCTAGCAAAGGGTCAAATGTGCAGACACCTACCAGGGATCTGGTAGGCAGGCAGTTCTAAATGCCTAATTGGTTCTTTTAACCCCATTCTTGGCATCCCTCAAATGGTCAATGCATTTGAAGGGGAAAGTCAGTAAAATATTAGCAATTTTTGTGGAACTTGATTTGAATTCAGCTTAGCATTCTTTTTGATGCTGATGGTATAGCTAGTGTGATATTAACCATGCAAGTAATATCATAATAATAGAAATCTCAATACTTTAAATTATATTTTTTCTTCTTGAAAGCAGTTTTTTCAAAAAGAGTTCTTCCATTTCACCCACTTCTTGTCATTTGGGATCCCTCACATGTAATTGATGTCTGTAATTGTATCTGGAATTAAGATGATAATGTTCAAAAGCCAGTGTTCAATTTTCTCTGTTCATGTCATGAGAAACAAAATGGTTCTAGTTTTTTTTACAAACACTTTATAATACTTTTTTGAAGTGTGATGGGATACCTAAGTTTAGAAGTGGGTTATAGTAATATGACAGCACATCTTTCTTTAGCAAATAGTATCTTAGTAAAGAATTAGTGCCTTTCTTAAAGGAACTTATTGATAAGCTGTTATTGGCACTGGTGTTTCTTTTAGGAAATTAGATGGAAATCATTTACTATATCCAGCATTTTTTGTTGTTGCTTTACTATGTGCCCTTTGTGTCAACTGGATTGCTGGCATAATCCCAATATCATTTATTATAACATTTAGAGAAAACTAAAATTAAAAATTTAAATAGAGGAAGAATGAGGTGTTTTGACAATTGAACTGTTCTGTCTCTTGCAGAATGATCATGGATGATCAACAGGCATAATTTTTTAAAAGAACAATTAATAGGCTTTTTCATATTAAATAATTAAGATATATTTATAATTCAAATTTATTTTTGGTATGCTTATAGCAAAATGTGATTCTGTGACAAGTGTTGCTTTAGTGATTAGCTCAGTTTCCTGTATCATTCAGCCAGTACTAATTGTAATGCTTGCTTGTATAGAAGTTGGCTCAATTTTATATTTTTAAGAATATTGAATTGCACTGGTGTCTCCAGACCCATAAACAAACCCATAGGTTTGCTGTAGTAGGGAAAAGAAGCAAAGGGAATATTTTTGGATTTTGGATTTTAAAATTGTAAGGCTGGCAAGAGCTTGATGAAATAGATGTATATTCCATTTATATATATATATATTCAGTGGACAACAGATTATACGGTGCCGCACTGAAATGCAGTATAAGATGTACCAGTAATTCATAAATAAAAATCAGTGGTACTTGTGGAAAAGCCATTTACAGTACCTAAGTTTCCAAGGAACAGTATAATTAGGCTTTCACCATGATAATGTGTACAAGTATAATAAAAGTCTTAATTGATGATAATATAGACTCTTTCAGAAGGAAAGTGAGACTTAAGAATTGGAATTTGAAGTGGAATGATTTCTCTTTAAAGATATGAATTACAATTAAATTACTATCAAACCATTTCAGTGCCATTTCTTCCACAACCTAGAATCTGCAAGTTACACAAAGGAGCCCCTAGGAGCCTATGTTAAAAATAGGGTTAGTGATAGAGAACTTCTGACTGCAGAGTCTTTGCCACACATCTTTCCATTTTAATCTTCTTGAAGGCTCTTTTTGAAGGCTACACCAAATCTTGCAGTAAAACAGGGATGTCAAATTTGCATCATCACAGCGGTGTCACGAATTTTTGGAACTTTTTTCCCCTTTGCTAAACCGGGCGTAGCCAGCATGTGATGCATCTGTAAGTTTGACAGCCCTGCAGTAAAAGCCGCTTCTATAGCACGCTATCTTTATTTCGTGAAATGACAGATAGATGGCTTAGCATGACCTGGAGTGTCCTTTCCAAATTGCATATAGAAGAGTTTCTTTTTTTAAATAACAAAGCACCGTTTTCTGTTGCGAAAAGCAATTGGCAGCATAATGAAATTGTATCTACCAAGTAATGTTAGAAGATGATATAGACATGAGGCAAACACTGGGTTGATACAGCATTACAGTAAAAGTGTTCCAAATAATGTATTTCCGACCTTGTTGAAATGGGTAAGAGTTTGTAGTGCAAAACAGAAATCCAATTGCTAAAATAAGGAGTGTTTCTTTTTTTTAAAAAAAAAAATGCACTTTAAAATTATGCACTGGATGCGAACGGGAAGTAATGCAAATGGCTATTTTGAGATATGTAGGTTATGCAGAGAAAGCTTCTTGGCAGAGCAACAAATAAAAAGGACTTCCTTCTATTTGCTCTGAGGAACTGTGATGGTTTGCCACCTCCCTGGAAATTATTTAGCCTAATATATGGATTATGGGTGAAATAAATATCCATGTAAAAACATGACAGCAGAGTTGAATCCCGCTGTCCACACTGGAAGTAGGGTGGCTTATGTTAACCTTGTTTAATAGCATTTTAATAAATTTAATGCACACTAATAAATTGAGAGGTGTCAACTTGCATTTCAATCACTCTGGCTTGCAAACAGACACTGTACATTATTTATGCAAAGATGTCGAAGGACATTTAAAGCAGGCAGCACTCATTTGTGGATCTCTACTTTTGGTAGAAATTTAGGCTTTTAAAACAAACTCCTAGTTGGAGAGCAATTTTCAAGCAATTACTGTAGCATGGTAACTCCTTTTAAAAAGTAGAGTATAATTTTGTAGCACCATCATTGTCTGACATTATTATGAAGTTAATCTGTTTTAAGTCATTTTGTGAAATTTGCTCAAAGTAGTAATAAATGTTTTATACAAAGGACATTGCTGTCGTGAGTTATTCAATTACAAGTCAAGGTGGCAATATAAGGGGTTTTGTCTAGGGCAGGGGTGTCAAACTTGCGGCCCGCGGACCAAATGTGACCACATGCTAGCCATGCCCACCCATTTTAGCGAAGGGGGAAAAAGTTGTGATACTTCACGTAACGATGTGTCGTGCATTTGACATCCCCTGGTCTAGGGGGACTCTTAAAGCATTGTTAGATCCATACAAGACCTAAGAAGGAAAAGGATTTACTGTATACACTAAGCTAATCTATGAAGAAACCCTTGCTTTCCTTAAAATGGTTTTAGTAGGGTTCAATTAGGAAAGCCATCTTAATGTGACACAATGAAACGGATTCTAAGTTAGATATAGACTGATAAAGCAGAATTTTGTGCAGGATTCTACTACAGCTTCCACAGCTGGTGGCTATCCAGCCTCTTAAATACATCTACTGAAGGAAAATCTGTCTAGATAAATGTTTCTCAACCTCAGCAACTTTTAAGATGTGTGAACTTTAATTCAGCTAATTCCCAAGACGGTGGGAATTCGAGGAGTTCCCATAAACCAATTTCATTGTATACATGATGTACAATGACAGTAAAGGCTTTGAATTTGCACTTAAAGCTGCCAACATTGGTCTAGGCTGCCTGTTACAATACTGAGCATGTTTCAAATTTGATCATTCAAATGGGAATTATCCTGATGTCCACTTGAAATTTGCTTTTTTGCTATTTAAATCCACCCTTTTAGCTTCCCTGAACTACAGAGCAGGACTGTTTTCTCAGTGGCAGTGCTTCAAACTCCTGTTCAAAGAGGCAGGACTCAACATATTTATTCAAATAACTGCAAACAAGAATGGGGGGGAGGTTGAATGATTTCATGTGTCATCATTCAAGTAACACAAATTACATAAATTGCACCAGTCACAAGTGACAATTATCTATGCAGAATTTGCCTGATGATATCATGAAGCATGTGATGTCATCAAGGGCATTTATAGCTGCCTATGCAAAATAATAGTAATAAAAAATCCTGCGCTGGTCTAACCCAAAGGTGCTAGACTTTTCACTGTGTCCAGCTTTTTAATTCAGTGAGAAATCCAATGCAGGAACATTTCCATTCTTTGCCAGTTCACTATAGAATGGATTCACAAGCTTACATACAAAGATCAGCTAGCAGGAAAACAGCACACAACTTTTGCAGCACACATATCTTATTTAATTACACTAGGCAGAAATGCATTATGGTAGTCAAGAAAGAAAAAAAAAACACCCTCTTATTTCAAAACATTAAATTAAAAAAAGAACTTATTACAAAAGCTGCTTTTAAACCTTATTTAATTAAAAAGAGGTTTAAAAAGATATAATGGAACCTCCAGAAGTAAATAAGTTACAAGTACATTAAATCACATCAGCAAGACTTTTAGTGTATTAATAGTTTGTAAAAAAAACACAAAAATAAATTGTTTGATCTATCACATTTATACATAAGAGGTATATAATACTTTTGTATGTACAATATTTTAATATGTAACAGTCTTTAAAAGGTGCAGCAAATACACAAAAGGCAATTTCTGCTCATTTGTTAAAATAAAAGCTCTATATTAAAAGCATTTATACAATAATTACAAGAAAACAAGACTGTTTCTGTACTGTACATCAAGAAAACCAGCATTAAATACAGACTAAAAAACTTATACTAAATTTGAACATCAGAAGGATAACATGAAACGTAAATATGCAACTAGATTTTCTTTCAACAAAGCATATTGAAAGCACATTATTGTTTTACTTACATATAGTACATACATATATACAGAGTCTCACACAAATTTATCTGAATACAAGCAGGTGGGGGATTTTTATAGCTTCAGCTGTTGATATAAAATCTCACGTTCCAAAAAGGAGAGACAAAAAAAAAAAAGAAATGTAAGCAGCTGGAGATTAGGGCCAGAACCTGTCTCAAACCTCACTCATTTCTATACAATTTGGGCAGGAAATTCTGAATGGTTCCCTGAAATGAATACCAAACTTGGCTCTGGAAAAATTCAGCATGGGGGATTAAAATTATCATTGAGGGGGAGGGGCGAGAAGCATCTGTGCAGCTTCCATTTCTTCTGAAAAAATTTGCACCAGTGAGTCACACAGCAGAAGGCCATATATCTGAGAAGAGAGTAGAGGCACACTGGGTAGTATTGGGATGCAAACATTTAGTAAATTGAGGCGAGGGAGGAAACTGACAGACTTTATTTTCCATACATACTTAGAATGGTACATTATTCCACAGACTTCTTGCAAGCAGAAAGCAACCCCCCCCCCCAAAAAAAGGGGGGGGGGAAAGCGGGTCAGAATAGATATGGGTAAAGCAAGCAAAATGCTGAATTGGGAGTTTTCCACCTACATCAGAGATCTCGTGATTATGCAAAGGGAGGGACGGCCTAATTAAAACTAGTTTTAAAGATGACTGATGACTAAAGGAACTTTAATTGGCATCTTCAACTGTCTTATGCTCAATGGATGGGCAATGCATGTCTACTCAGAAGTCTCAATAAGAACAGAAGAACCTCCTCTCTAATCTTTGTTGATCTCCAAATCTAAGCAAGGTAGTTAATACTGGAGTTGTAGACTAGACTGGAATGTTGAACTAGCATTCCAGAAGATGGGAATGGGAAATCACTTGTATTTCTGCCAAGAAAACTGCATGGATTAGATCACTAGAAGTCCACTGAATTTAAGTCCACAGCTTCTAAATGAGATTATCCAGCTGTGTATTACTAACAAATACTCACTTGCAAATGTAGCAATCATAGAAAATAAATGCACATATGAAGGGCTTCCAACTCCCTTTTTGCAGCATTACTAATCACGCTGTCAGAACCTTTGATATAGTTGTGCCTGATGTAATTGCAATGTATTGGGAAACTAGCATCTACTTTATCAGTGTTTCAAAATGAAGAATTCTTCCATTAATGTTGATTACACCTGCAATATAAAGTTATTTCATAATAGGCCTATCAGCTGCAGCTGAGTGTAGAGTATTCAGTGCCTTAAGTGCCATACATTTTACATTATGAACAGGAAGAAAAAAATTCAAGCCATGTTTATTCATGTACATTTATCATAATCTAATGTAGGTTTACATATAGCTGCTGACCTCACACATTGCATTAAAACTATGATTGTTTACTTACAATTAGAAACTATGATGCGTAAATAATCATGCATGGTTTATGTGTGATTTCGTGACACATCCCTGGTTTATTTGTGTATTTGTAAGCATTTCATGATATTATAGGGCAAGAAAACATGAAGAAATAAATCAAGAATTAGATGAATAAGCCATAACTTTGCGCTCATTTACAAGACTAATTTTAACTTGTTGTGTTTAAGCAATTGTATTTAAAATAAACATTCCTTTTATTGATTTAATGTATACGCCACTCAACTCCCTAATCAAAGCAACTGTGAATTTAATGCAATGTGTGAATCCATCTACCATCTTTAGTGAGAAAAAGATCTCTGCATAACAGGGAAGTTTATTAATATGAAAATATCCGAGGAAGAATGGACTGGTAACATTGTGCAAAATGAAAATCTGTGGATTTATAAAGGTTCTCTCACCTAAAGTTACCTTGGTATAAGAAAACTAAAGAGTTTTATGTACTAGCTAACAATCAGAAATGGGATATTCCAGATTAGTAAGAGTGTACTTTAGTAGAAAAAAAGTGGAAAATACATTTGGGCTACAAAATCAGGAAGCAGAGGAGGAGCTCCAATATCCGGACTGATTATTATGAGATCAATTAAAATTTTAGAGCTAGTATATTGCACCCAGTAATTAACATGCCACTAGTGATTCCCTTCCCACTGTTGAAACAAGCTGGTTTGATAACGAGACTTCAATTCAGACACACCTTTAGTGTAAGCATCCACCTGGAAATCACAGATGTATTTAACGTACCTATATACAAATTTGCAGCATAATGCCACGACCCCTGAAATACATCACAGGTCATCATATATCTAAATCACCACTGCTGCTTCTGTCCAGCTTCACAAAGGAGAAAGAGGGCAGTGTTTCCTGGTTTTTATCTCCTAACTCCCCATCAGACTGCTTGCTTATATTTGCATACATGCAAAGACTGCGTTCCTTCCCTGTCCAAGTACATGCTCTATATGAAAAAAGGTGGGAAACCCAGCAGTATAGGCAAGTCAGTTTCACTGTGGCTTAAAGAAGCAAATTAATCAATTTTTTTCATGTTATGATGTATGAAAAATGAATTAATTCCCATTTATGTGACAAACTACTAGATTGTGCCTTTCAAAATGCATCTAAAGTTATTCCCATATGTATTTCCCATGAATATTATCCAATGCAACAATTAATCGATGGAAAGGTTTACTGATGCATTATTACTGGTTAAGATATAAACGCAATTTTAAGGAATCCTATTTGTAAGTCTTTAATAGCTACAAAATGCCACACAATGAATTACAAAGTGCATCTGTGCTGGATTGTAGCAATTATATTTGGGAAGAAAATGTTCTACCCAGGAACAAAATACTTTTGTAATTTGTTCCATACACATCCCTTTTTTTCCTTCTAAAAAATACCATTTGGATACTTTGTTCATTCCATATATATATATATATATATATTCTCTCTTAATATATGACATTGATTAAATTGAATGCTGACTTTCAAGGCAGCAATGCTCTTCCTTTCTGAATGGTTGGGAAAGCAATTGTTGCCTTTCTCAAGATCGCAAGAGTGAATTATTTGAACAAGATAACTTTCCTGTTTGGGCTGGAATTCACACAGCTGAAGTGCAAAGAAAAACATGATTGAGACCAGCTGTTTTTGAAAATGCAGTCAAAAGCCTGGTTGCATTGCTTTCACTTCATTATATTGTGTATCAAAAGCTAAAATTTGTGCAAAACTATGATCTGGAAGAACATCATTGACCCAGTGCAAAAACAGTGTAAATAAAGACGTTC